TGATTAGGACCTTAGAGAATATTTCATCCAAAAAAAACCCTGATTTTTTTTTTTTAGTTGAGAACACAGGTCCTAGAAGTTGAGGAACTTCCCCAAGATTACAGGGGTGCATTCCAGAACACAGTTCTCATGCCCCTGGGTCCCATGCTTTTTCCAGTACTTTATGTATCACATCGTATAAATTAACATGAAATTCTTACAACTTGAAAGTATCAAAATTAACTATTGACTGAAATCAGTTCAACATTTCTGAGTTTCTTTAGACTAGTGGTCGGCAAACTCATTAGTCAACAGAGCCAAATATCAACAGTACAACGACTGAAATTTCTTTTGAGAGCCAAATTTTTTAAACTTAAACTATATAGGTAGGTACATTGTTATTAACTTAATTAGGGTACTCCTAAGGCTTAGGAAGAGCCACACTCAAGGGGCCAAAGAGCCACATGTGGCTCGCGAGCCGCAGTTTTCCGACCACGGCTTTAGACTAACCCAGTCTGGGCCACATTTCAGTCATAGTCAAGACACACAGCTTGTGTTTGATCAAAGATCTTGGAAGCATCCTGAAGCAACACATGTCCCTGCAAAAGGGTGTCCGGAGGTCATCCAGGGAGACACAGGACACTGAGCTCACAGAGCCTTCATGCCTTCCTTGGAAAGCAGCGGTCGCATCAGCATATCTGGAGACAACTTTGCGACTGTGAGGCTGAGATGGGAAGGCTGATGCTCGGTGTAGGAGGGTCTGATCTCCGTCCACCTCTGAGAACTCCTTTCCCACCGAACTCTGTGAGCAGGCGGCAGGGAGAGGTTAGCCCGGAGCATTCACTGTGGGGCTGGGTGCAGAGGCCTGCCAGTTTGGCCTGTCTTCGTATATGTTATCAAAACAAGGGAGGGTCCTGTGATTTTTAACTGGGTTTCAGTGTATTTGTGCATATGCCACATGCACTTTCAAATTACATAATTGGACACTTTATAAGTCACATTACTTTAAACATGTCATTCTCTGCTTCAGGCTATGTTGGAGTTGTTTGTTTAAGTTCCTTTTGAGCTTTCAAGAGAAATAATAGAGAAGGATTTGCTATGAGCCAAATTAATACACTGGTTTCCATTTTGGGGGTTTTTGGCAGCTTTGTTTCTGCGGGGGAATACAAACTCCTTAATGTTACCTGCCGCGTGCCTCGTCTATATAATGATATTACATGCATTTCAGTGTTTGTAAATGCATGTGTTAGAGTGAGCAGCCACCGCCGGCTTCAGTGAGGCAGGCGGACAAAGGGGGGGTCTGCAGGTGAGGTTGCTCAGCCCAGTCCATCGATAGTGACCTGTAACAAGTCTGCAGTTGGGAGATTCATACTAAACAAGTCACCCGTTGTTTACTGTAGTTTGGCAAATGGGGGATAATTGCCTTTATAAAAGCATCAGGGGTACGTGGGGCGATGCTAATGCTTGTCATCCACTTTATTACATTATCCATTGTGGCTGTGATTTTTAAATTATATGCTCTATATAGTATTTAAGTTTTCCTCAAAACAAAGCTAAAAGGGAAAACAGAAGTGCTTATTACTTATTACATAATCCTTGCTCACACTACCTCACAAGATTGGCGTGAACAACAAATACATTTGAAAATTGTAAGGGACATGGCAAACTGTGAAGAATTATTCACATTTGCTGATATCGATACATGTTTGAGATACATTTCAGCATTGAAAAGCTCAGGTGACTACCTTGACCCATTCCTATGAAAATATGTGACACTGTTTTTTTCTTGAACAGCTTTATTAAAGTACTAGAGGCCGGATGCACGAAATTCGTGCAAGGGGCTCTGCCTTGGCCCTCGCAGCCCTGGCTTCATCCGGAAGGTCATCCGGAAGGACATCCAGAAGGTTGTTGGGCTGTTCGGTCTAATTAGCATATTACCCTTTTATTATTATAATTTACATACCATAAAATCCACTCATTGTAAGTATATATCTTACTGATTTTTAGTAAATGTATACAGTTGCGCAGCCATTACTAGAATGCAGTTTTAGAATATTTTAATAACCCCCTAAAGTTCCCTCATGCCCATTTGCAGTTAGTTAATCCCTTTTCTTGCCCCCAGCCCCAAGGAATCATTAATATGCTTACTGTCTCTATAAAATTGCTTTTTAAGCTATTATGAATAATGCTGTTATGAACATTTATTTATATATATATATAAATCTTTGTTTGGATATATGTTTTCATTTCTCTTGAGTAGATTCCTAGGAGTGACTTGTTGGGTTTATGGTAAGTTTATGTTTAACTTTTTAGGACAATGTAAATCTGTTAGAGTGGCTATATCATTTCATATTTCCATCAGCAACGTATGGGGGTTCTAGTTTCTCCACATCCTGGCCAGTACTGGCTAGTGTCTGTCTAGTGGGTGTGCAGTAATATCTTATTGCAGTTCAGTTTGCATCTCCCTAATGGCAATCTAAAGGAAGAGAAGCCAGTGCCCCTTGCCCCTGATTAAATGGTTAGATATTGCATGTTTTAAAAAATTCTTGCAGCACACAGGTTGAAAATCACTGTTCTATACTGTTATTTAACTTTTAGTGTGAATACATTTTTTCCTCCAAACTTGATTTTTAAAAAATTTTATTGAGGTATAATTGACATGCAACATGAGTTTCTGATGTACAGTGTAATGATTTTATAGTTGTATATATATTGCAAAACAATCACCACAATAATTCTAGTTAACATTTATCATCACATGGTTACAATTTTGTTGTGTGTGTGTGATTAAAACTTTTAAGATCCACTCCCTTAGCAACTTTCAAATATGCACCAAAGTATCATTACCTATACATTCAGGACATGACTATTTATTTTATACCTAGAAGTTTGTATTTTTTGATCCCTTCACTCATTTCACCTACTCCCATCTCCATCCCCTGCCTCTGGCAACCACTAATCTGTTATCTATATCCATGAGCTCCATTTTTTTTTTCCTTTTTAGATTCCACATGTAAGTGAGATCATAAAATATTTGTCTTCCTCTGTCTGACTTATTTTACTTAACATAATGCCCTTCGAGGCCATCCATGTTGTCACAAATGGCAAGAGTTCCTTCTTTTTATAGCTGAATAATATTCCATTGTATATATATATGCCACATCTTCTTTATGCATTTATCCATAGATGGACACTTTCTCTAAACTTGAATTTTAAACTCCCTCAAGGGCAAGTCCTTTTAGCTTATTGATTTTTTTTTTTTTTTTTTTACATTACCAGGCCTAGCAAAGTACTCTGGAGATAATGCATCCTCAAGAAATATATGTTGCATACATGACAAAAAGCTTACTGTTTTTATGTAAATATTGTCAGCACCCGTGATATCATAATTTAATAAGTCACATTGAATTTTGTACATCAGAGGTTTCAGTTTTAAAACCATTTCAAAAGGGAGTGCTTCAGAGTATAAACTTGGACAAATAAATTTAATGATCAGAGAAAAGTGACTCTGAGAATATTTTATGGTAACTAATGTGTTTAAATAAATTCAAATTTTTAGACTTTTTTTCCTGCAAATGTCCCTGAGTGCCTTAACAAAATAGTAAAACCATAGTTAATCACAAATGAATAATGCTATCAAGTGTATCCATGAGTAAGGAGAAAGCAAACGAACACTTCACCCATCATTAGTACTCTGGACTCAAAAGATTTCAAATTATAAATACAAATTTATACTTATGTGGAAGCCTGAATGTAAAACAAAAACAACTTTCCCTATAACTAGTAAATAACAGGGGAAAAGAAAAAACTTTTGAGCCTTGCCTGGAAGGGTGCCAAAGATATACACTTGAGAATATTTTAAGGTAATTAGCATTTTTGTCTCTGTGTCAGTAAAAATAGGCCTTTGGCTGCTACTAATTTTCTTTGGGTTAGTGAGACCATTGTATGAATGAAGGGCTGTTAAAGGCCATTTATATTGTGCAAACAGAGGCACAAATTAGAGAGGGCATGTTAATAAGGAGAGGGGGCTTATGAGTGCTCAATTATGAGCCCAGAACCTGTTTCTATTTTAAGGGGATAGGAAACACATCAATCTTGCTTTTAGAATATTTTCAATTAAAATGAACAGCACATGGCATACTAAGAACCAGCGAAGGCTGCGGCCATGTGGGTCTTGAATAATTCTTACATACCATCTTAGAATCAACGCTGATATACGTATAATGGGCTGAAATATAATTTGAGATCCCAGAAGACCGAGGTCCCTGAGCTGCATAAGAAATTCTAAAGGAAAAGAAATATAAAACTGGACCATCTGTTTCACTTTCCGGCATGCAACCTTCAGAGTAGACTATTTGGAGAAGGATGCTGCTTTAAATCTGAATAGGGATGAAGTATAGTACATACACTTGCAACATATCATGAACTTCCTCTCTCCTAAGCATAATCAATAGCAGTCTCAAGCCTAGTTCCGCATGTTAAAAACACAAAGCACAGTGCTAGATGCACAGAGCATTCACTTCTCCCCACGCGGAGACAATAGTGAGCAGATTCCTCTCCAGCCCCAGGCAGCGCCTCCTGCCTAATTGGGTTGAGCAATGGGAGACATCCACTCTGCATAGGCAAGCGTTTGGGGAATCTCATTATGGTGTGCATACACAACTCTCTGCATAAGCCTAGTTTGCCCCTCCTTTAGCCAGTACTCCCAATGCCTAATGCCATGTTTTTTATATATGCTTATGAAAACATTTCAAGATATTATCCTCCACGCTACCTTTTCCCCTATGTGAAATGGCTATTACTAGTATAGAATTATAGCTAACCAAGTTGCCAGCGTTCACATAATGTTCTTAAAGTGGAAAAGCACTAAATAAAACAGTGAAGGGTAGCAGGCATGAATGTGTTTGGTCTCAAGATAAAGAAACCAATACTTTCAATGCTATTCAATAAGCCCAGTGCTGAACTTCTCAAACCAAGATTGTATTGGATTTCTGACCTTTTTTTTTTTTTTTTTCAGGTGGTGCTAGTCCTCGCTCTTGAAACCTTTGTAACTATTAAGGCTGAAGTGCCATTTAAAGAAAAAAGAAGGCAAAGAAATGAGCTACGAGAGCCATGGTGAGTCGTTTGTCAATGTATCCTTTCTTGAGTGTGCTGGGAAGCAGGCTTCAGGGTGCTGGGATCATAGGCTTTATTTTGAATTTGTCTGTTATAACCTGAAAGCTTTCTACAAGGGAGATACAGAGGGTTCGTGTCTGTATACAAAGTCTGTTGCTATGGAAAGGTTTGTGCTTAACCATATTACAGTGTTCTGTTAGGAGCAGGGAACCTGGGGTATCAGTTCATCTCTTTCCAAAAGCCACATATTTTATCGGATAAAAGAAATAACAAAACATGCCCAGCACATATTTCTGCCATTAGAGAACAATTCGAAAGGCCTTTTTTACATTGTATGTATCAAGAAACTATTCTACATTCTAAGATCCATGGTAGCTTCTTACTATAGAAGTTAGTTACAGTGTAATAGACATCAGTTACTCGCAGTATATTATCTAAGCTCCTCGGCTATTTCCACCTCTAAATTCACTTCTACGTTGCTTTTCTCATTCCTACCCAAATATCTGCTGTTGGCTCCACAAGAGAGCTTTCCTTTTAGCATGTGCTCTGTTCTTGGTGAGCAATTCAACACAGTAAGATTGTACTGTGAATGTTTGCTGTTGACATGTTCCCTGAAAAGGGAGGGCGGAGGCTGCCCGAATATTAAAACCTGGGCTGTTCTAGAAAAATTCAACAATTGCTCAAACAATCTAAAATTTGTCAGTGTTCACATTTTTCCTTACATCAAAGTTGGCAAAGTATAGCTCGTCTCATTTTAAAACAGTAATATATTGTATGGTGCTAACACCTACACTTGTAGGGAATCATGTTGGTTCTGGGTGCAGACGCAGAGGCCTGGGTTGGGGGGGTCTAGAAATGCCATTTGCAGCCTGTGCCATCTTGGGCAGGCTTCTTAACCGCCCTGTGCCTGTTCGCCCATCTGTTAACATTGGAATAAGAATCGTACCTATTTCAAAGGGTTGAACTGGGAATTAAATGAGATAGTTCTGGCAAAGCACTTAGAACAGTGCCTGGCACGAAGTAGGGATGCAGTAAGTGTTGGTTTCTTACATTGTTGGTCTTCCTATAGTTTTTAATCTTGCCTTTTTCCATGAATATGCAGCTACTTCTTTTAACTCGGAACAATCTTAAATGGTAGAATCTGGGACAATGTGGCTAGACGTTTGAAAAATAGGTGGGGTTGGATGACTTTCCTATGTCCCACAAATAACCCCATTAACAATGAGCTTTGCCCTGGCTGGCTGGCTCAGTTGGTTGGAGCATCATCCTGTGCACCCAAGGGTTGCAGATTCAATTCCTGGTCAGGGAATATACCTGAGTCGTGGGTGCAATCCCAGTTGGAGTGCATTAGGGAAGGCAACCAATTAATTGCTCTGTCTCCCCCCCTTTTTTCTAAAACATCAATTTAAAAAAAATGAGTTTACCCATACCTGTGAGGACAGCTTTGCCTTTCAATATAATAACTAGGATTCTCTCTTTGTCCATTGACCTGCTGAAAACTCCTTTTTGGTTCTGGATAATATAAATGTAAAAAGAGTTTGTCTGGATATATATGTGTTACCTATGTCAACAGTTAGGAAGGGAGAGGGATAGAGAGTTAGAAACATCGATCAGCTGCCTCTTACACACCTCCTACTGGGGATGTGCCTGCAACCAAGGTACATGCCCTTGACCGGAATCGAACCTGGGACCCCTCAGTCCACAGGCTGACTCTCTATCCACTGAGCCAAACCGGTTAGGGCCAATCCTTATATGTTATTAAATGTAGAAAGACATTTAAAATATCTGATCATTTATCCCAACATATGCAAAGCTTTACCAGTATTCCAAGTATAAAAAACATAGACATACAGAGAAAGACAAAGAGCTCATTTTGCACATATCCAAACGGATGCCCGAGGTTTCAGCCCAGACCTGGAACTCATTGTCAGTACTTGGCATTGATCCACAGCCAGAGAAACCACGATTATTAGGCCTGTTTTCTTTACTCAGAGCCTAATTTGGGACTGTCAAGTCAATTTGACTACAATTGAATGAAATTTTTGTTCTTTAAATGTTTGTTCTTCACATTTCATTTATATACTCTCTCTAGTAAGGTCAAATTCCTCTGTAACTATTATCTAATTTATTCTTGTAACTTCTATGTGAGATAGGGAGCATTTATCTTTATTATTAGCATCTGGTGTTGGAAGATTCACATTTACTTTGTTGGGAATCACCAGGAATAAATCTCATGTAGACACTAATGGAAAATATAATAGGAGATAAATATAGGTATATCTGTAAATGAAGATATTTTCCCACCTTTGAAATCTGTTGACTAAAAAGATGAAAAATGGAACAACTTATGATGATTGAATAGTAATAAAAAGCAGCATTTAATCTAAATCTCTCCTTCCCATGATTACAGCATACTAAATATTACTAGATACTAGAGAGTCTGCTGATGAGCTATGTAAATGTTTTCCAATAAAATTAAATAGATTAGAATTGGAAAGAGAATGTTAATATTTCTAAGGCTTTTAAGGAGTCTTCTCTAAACACGTTTCCAAAAAAATACAATTGAAGACTGTGTCCCCGCGTCAGCAGTACCAGCATGGTGAGCGCCATTGTGGATAGAATGGGCAGAGGCAGCCATCCTGTTGGAGAAGTTCCTGTCATCTGTGATCCTGTATTGTTAATTCTCTCCGTGTATTCTGCCTGCTGCTTTGTTTTGGTTGTCAAAGTTTGTTACTGAGACAAGACTAAGACCATCCTACTCTGACAGTCGCAGATTGAGTTGGCATGACGCACCATGAGGTGCGTCTAATTGCTGTTAATATTGGAAGGATGGATAATCCTATTAAAAAGAAGAACAGTTATCAAAAAATAAATAGGTGGAGGCAAGACTAGATTACATGAAAGAAGGACAGCTTGATGAGGGGAAACCCATTAACCTGAAAGGAAACAGTTCTTTGCTTCCAATTTAGCGTTGTGAGCAAGACTGCATTCATACTAAATTGAAATGGAAACAATTTTTCTGATTCATTTGTAGACTTAACTATTAGGTTTTCTTATACCTGGAAAAAGAGACCCTACTGTGAATCCTAATTGTTAGTAGAATATCAAAATGCCATGTTAGGATTATGGGAAAACCTTTGTCTTGCTCCTGAGGTTTTATTAATGAGTGGAGAGCACAGTACTCTACACCAGTGCCTCCCAAACTCGATGAGCACTGGCATCACTTGGCGATCTTGATAAACTGTAGCTTCAACTTGGTAGTTTTGGAGTGGGGCCAACATGCTACCCTGGAGAAGCCCCCAAGAGATGCCCATCCTGCTGGTTCAGCACAATTCTTGGAGAAGGCAGGCTCCAGACAAATATTTTACAAAGAAATCTGTGTACATGCAGCATGACTTGCTTTGCCATTGTTCCAGGAAATTAAATGGCACTGGGATAACAAAACCCAAACCACTTGCTTTGAAAATGGGAATGAAGAGAATGAGCCAATTTAAAGTTTCACGGACTCTTTTAAGGACAACTTGAATTATGGGTAAAGGTGAAGCTGTAATGGAATAGTCTGGAAAGGCAGAAGGTCTCTTGGTTTCCATTGGAGGTTAGTTCATAGTTTCCTTCAATCCCTCCCTCCCTTTGGTCATAGTTTTTACATGGCTATTAGAAAAAATGGCAATATAATACACTTTACTGCTTGAATTCATGTTGCCTTAGAAAGAGAGAGCATCATGCTTCTCCTCCCACAACCCAAGTTGTTAAGAGAACATGGAATGCTGCAAGGACCTCCCAGCAAGCACATTTCACCCATTCAGTCTGTGCCAGGACGTGCTGTTTATTGGTGGTTACATTCTGGTAAGGTCATCTGACACTCCCAGCACGAAGTCTGGTGTGGGCTCTTGCATGCATTCATCTTAATCAAACCTCAGATAGCTGAATAAGAAGGAGACCATTACATTGAATTACTTTGAGTAATTAAGAGTGTATTTGAGCCCTGGCCAGGTTGCTCAGTTGGTTGGAACACTGTCCTATACACCAAAAAGGTTACAGGTTTGAGTACCAGTCAGGGCACATACCTAGGTTGTGGGTTTAATCTCTGGCTGGGGCACCTACAGGCAGCACCCAATTGATGTTTCCTTTTCACATCTCTCTCTCTTTCTCCCCCCCCCCCACTTCCTGTCTCAAAAAATCAATAAAAACATATTCCTCCGGTGAGGATTAGAAACAAAAAGAATAAAAATACATAGTGCATTTGAGTCAGGAGAACTTTAAATAGGGAAAATGGGTTTCAGAAACTTAACAACCTGTTAACTATTCTGAATTTTGGGTGATCATAAACTATCATTTATTACTTATATGGTAAGTATGTAGGGACAGCATAAACCTGAAAAGCAGATGGTAGGAAAATGAATTGGGTGGGCAGTGTGTGCATGTATTAGTCTGATCAGGCTGCTATAACAAAATACCATAGATTGGTTGGCTTAAACAGCAGGCATTTACTTCTCAGTTCTGGAGGCTGGGGAGTCCAGGATCAAGGTACTGATTGATTTAGTTCCTGGTTAAGAGCCCTCTCTCTGGTTTGTAGATAGCCACCTTTTCCCTCAAATGACTGAGAGAGAGCAATCTCTCTCTCTCTGCCTCTTCTTATAAAGCTACCAATCCCATCATGAGGGCCATAATGTCATGACTCATTTAACCCTAATCATCCTCTAAAGCCTTATTTTCAAATACCATCACATTGGGATAGGGCATCAACATATGAATTCTTTTTTTGGGGGGGGAGGTGGGGGGATGACACAATTCAGTCCATAGCAGTACATTAAAGGCCAATGAAGATATTAACAACTTTGGAATTATAATATAACACAAAAATGCAGACTTTTTCTTGTTTTTCAACTTATAATTATGTATGTATGTATATATATATATATTAATATATTTTATTGATTTTTTTAAAGAGAGGAAGGGAGAGGGATAGAGAGTTAGAAACATCGATGAGAGAGAAGCAT